TTAAAAAAGGCATTTTGTTTAAGCAATTCCTCCAAAGCCAAGTGATATTGGTTTGATTTTTTGAGACTGGTCTTACTATGTAGCTCTGTCTGGTTTAGAATTCACTACTTTGATCAGGCTGGACTTGAACTCAGAGATTCACCTACCTGTACCTCCCAAGCGATGGGATTAAAGGTGTGCACCATGACCAGTGAACATTTGTATTGCTATTTTGAGAGGCCAAGTATTTGGTAACTCTGAGGACACAGACAAGAACCCAATAAGAAGTTCTTAGTGAACATTATTCAGTGACGGATCTGCTTATATCTAATGGGCACATTTTGCAGGAATTGCACACTAGCTGGGATCTGGACATCTCTAAAGCAGCTGTCCAACAGAATTATTAACAAGACAGTGGTGGCGCACGCCTTTAATCCCAGCACTCAGGAGGCAGAGGCAGGCAGACCTCTGTGAGTTCGAGGCCAGCCTGGTCTACAGAGTGAGATGCAGGACAGTCCGGGCTACACAGAGTAACCTTGTCTTGAAAAACCAAAAAACCAAAAACCAAACCAAAACAAACAAACAAACAAAACAACAAAAAGAAAAGAGTGAAATATGGTGATATATGGCCTTTAATCCTAGCACTAGGAGGCAGATGCAGGCAGATCTCTTGAGTTGGAAGCCAACCTGGTTTACAAAGCAAGTTCCAGACCACCCAGAGATATATGATGAGACCTTGTCTCAAAACAAAACAACTAAAAAAATTTTTTTAAATATTAAAAGAATCATACGAAGTAGGCATGTCCAACCTTTTGACACTGTGACACAATACTGTCATTTACAAACTGTATTAGAGAACTACACAATTAAGTTAACAAAAAACTGTAAAACAAAACAAAACAAAACCCCTCAAAACATTATGTAAGTTTGTGACTTTGTGCTGGGCTGCCCTCATAGCTATCCTGGGGCACCTGAAGCCTGTAGGCTGAGGACACCTGCTAGGAGGAAGAGCAAATGTTTTTACCTGGGTTTATCTCTCGGTAAGTCCCAATCCCATAAGCATCTACTAAGTTCTGGAAGCCGTGTGTGAACTTGTTGGTTTTGTTGTACGTCGGGGGAGTCTGGTTGGTCTGCATCCTGTTCAGGATGGAGGGGACAGTAGATCCGCTGTGTTCCTAGGAAACATCCGCAACGAGTCAAAATGAGGTGTCCTTGTGGCTACGCAGGTGTGCAAATGTATCACAATTCAAGCCGTCCACCTAAAACTTGTATCTTCTCCTACATTTCAATTAAACTAACAACAATCAAGATTATTTTTTCTTTCTCAGTCTGGAAAAACTGGGCTAGCTCTAACATTGACAACAGAAGGTTTCAATTGAGTCTTGGAGGCAGGCACAGCAGCGCATGCCTGGGATCCCTGGTGCTCCAGGAGGCAGAGGCGGGAGGATTGGGAGTCACGGCCAGCCTGGGCTACAAACGCAGTGAGAAATGGCTTCAGCAACTGAAAACAGGAAAAAACAAAGCAAACAGACTGGATATCTGCAGGCAAAATAAATAAATAAATAAATAAATAAATAAATAAATAAATAAATAAATAAATAAATAAATAAGTGGGCTCTAATTAAGTCTTTGGAAGTATATTATTAGGGTAAAAAAACTTGAAGCCAGGCAGTGGCACACTCAAGAGGCTGAGGAGGACGAATCACGTAATTCAAGAGTTCAAGACCAGAGAAAGCAAAACAACTCGGCCTCTCTTTCCCACCCACTCTTCATTCCCTCAGGCCTGAGGCTCAGCTAAAATACCCATGAAGTGACTGGGCAGACACCAGCTCTGCCTCTGCCCACCCAGTAACACTGCAGGGCTCTTGGGCGCTCCTTTCTCTCTCTAGGCTCTCCTCTGAGGTCTCAGGGCCTCCACTCTGGCTAACCCTCGGATTTCTTTATTTTAGCTCCAATGTCTGCTTGATAGTTCCTCATAGATTTCTGTTCAGGGCCTCAGTGTGACTGCAGCTCGACCCTGCCGTCCTTCCCGCTAAGAAGTTCCTCCTGCTGGGCTCTGATTTCCAGGAACGTTAATCCTCAGGTACACACAGCCTGGTGCCTCAGAAACATTTTTAATTCTTGTTTCTGCGCCTCATTAAAAAATGAGGACATGTACTCCAGAATGCCTCACAAATTCATCTTGTTTTCTCAAGTTCTGCCGTCAGCCCTCATCAGTGACAACTCCATGATCACTGTGGCCTCGTGACTGGCCACGCACTCTCAGGATTTCTCTGCTGAACGTATTTTCAAACCTGCTTTAATCACAGCTACATAACCCACTGCCTCTCTAACCTCCCAGAATAAATTTTCAACCCTGTAACCTTTGATAAAATCATTCCTAACGGGGCTTCACTCCATCTCAACGAAACCGTTATACACCCTGTTCTTGCCTAACATCATGCACTACTGAGCTGTACTTCCAGCCTTTATCTGTGTGTTTTCCTTTTATTGCGTATGTTTTTTTTTTTTTTTTTTTTTGGTTTTTCGAGACAGGGTTTCTCTGTGTAGTTTTTATTGGCACCTTTCCTGGAACTCGCTTTGGAGACCAGGCTGGCCTCGAACTCACAGAGATCCACCTGCCTCTGCCTCCCGAGTGCTGGGATTAAAGGCGTGCGCCACCACCGCCCGGCGTGTTTTCCTTTTGTTTTGTAAGGTTTTGTTTGTTGAGACAAGGTCTCATGTAGCCCAGGCTGGCCCCACTTACTATACAGCCACGGATGACCTTGGACTCCTGATCCCCTTGCTGTAACTTCCCAAGTGCTGGAATTACAAGGATATGCTACCATATCTGGCTTATGCAGAGCTGTAAATTATATCAGGGCCTTACAGTCAGAAGTGTTGGCATACATCTTAACCCCAGCACCCAAGAGGCAAGCAGATATCTGAGTTCGAGACCTGACTGGTCTAGAGTTCCAAGACAGCAAGGGCTACACAGAGAACCCTGTCTCAAAAACAAAATACACAAATGAAAATACCAGGGCTCCATGCATACAAGGCAAGCGGTCTCCCAGGTCAGCTGCCTCCCGAGCCTGTCCATAAAGGTGTTCTGCTCATCTGACCATCAAACCGACTCAAGTCCCCGGTCACAAGTCATCTTTCCATTGCTGGTTTATTTGTTTGCAGCTCTAGGGACTGAACCCAGGGCCTCATACATGCCAGGCAAATGTTCTACTATTGAGCAACATCCCTTGTTCCGCCAAACTCCACTTTTTCTTGAAGCTTTTTTCTGGTCACATTACTTAGAAAAGCTCCACCCTTCCTCTACATACATCTCCCACTTGTATGTCTGCCTAGCCTAATAAACTGTAAGGTACTTCAGCATAGCTTGTACACCTCTGTGTGTGTGTGTGTGTATATATTTGTGTGTGTGTGTGTGTGTGTGTGTGTGTGTGTGTGTGTGTGTGTGTGTGTGTGTACATATACGTATATATGTATATACCCCTCCCTGGCTTAGGTCAGTGTCTTAGAAAATGGCTGCTCTAACTATCAAGCAGAAGCAGCTTATCAGAGAGTGAGTCAGGAAGCTGATGCTCTGGCATGGTCTGCCCTGAGGAGTCAGGGCCCTGACCAAATCCCTTCACACTACTGAGCGGCAGTTCCCCCTCTGTAAAATAAGGTCAGTCCTCCAGGCAACAGACAGCGTCCTCTCAGGGTATAAGAACACACTAAGAACTCTGAAAGCAAAAATGTCATTAATACGAAGTTGGTTAAGAGGAGGCTCTCCTCCTGCCCACCAGATTCGTTCTCGCTAAGGACTCACCGTGCCTCTTCTAAGTGCAAACTGGATGGAGTCAAGGTCAGTGACAGGGCACCAGACTTCTGCAATCAGGCACTTCTGGGTCACGTCTATGTTGCACAGGTTCAGGGTATGGTAGATAGCCTTCATCTTCCGCACCTTGATGAACCAGACCCGGATGTTCTTAGCAGCTGCCTGCAGAACCCTCTGGCGGTGGTCCTCTGTTTGATTTAGAACCTTTCGGGAGAAGAGGAAATAGGGGAGGGATCTTTCTAACACAAGTCTTCCTTCATAGGATAGGATGGCAAAGTGGTATCGCTTGCTTCCCCCCACCCCCTTTTGAGGCAGGGTTTCTCTGTGTAGTCCTGGCTGACCTGGAACTCACTCTGTAGACCAGGCTGGTCTCGAACTCACAGAGATCCACCTGCCTCTGCCTCCCAAGTGCTGGGATTAAAGTCTTGCACCACCATGCTCGGCTGTGGCATCACTTTCTAAAAAGGGTTGCCAGAAAACAGCCTTATTCTTCCTCGGCAAGATGTATTATTTGTGGGTTTGTGGGTTTAGGGTGGTGGGGGTCAGTCAAATTACAAGATGTGTGAGTTCTTATAGTGCTAGAGATGGGACTCAGAGCCTGGTACATGCTATCCAAGCATGCTATCACTGAATTATGTCTCCAGCTCAAGAAATTTGAGTTCTGGAGCTGAGAACATAGCTCAGTAGTACAAGAATCTGCCTGCATTCATAAGACCCTAGGTTCAATTCCTAGTAGCACCACCAAAAATTTAAAAAAAAAGGAAAATGAGTATCTCAAAGGAGCCAGCAACATTTCAAGCTGGCGGGTCATCTGCAGTGGGAGCTGGAGGGAAAATGAGAAAGGGATTGAAATGGAGCCCTCACATATCTGCTCTGTGACAATATCACTGCTATAAAGAACTGCCTCGGGACAAGGTGTGCTCACTAACATTTTGAGGAAGGCAAAAAAACTACTCCACTCTTTCTTCCAAAAAGTAACAAGCAGTTGGGCATGGTGGCGCACGTCTTTAATCCCAGCACTGGGGAGGCAGAGGCAGGTGGATCTCTGTGAGTTCAAGGCCAGCCTGGTCTACAGCGTGAGTTCCAGGACAGCCAGGGTTACACAAAGACACCCTGTCTTGAAAAACAAAAAACCAAAAGAAACAAGTCTCCCTGGTCGCCTTTTCCTTCCAAATACTCATAAATCACAACTCTTCCCTTAGAACCCTGTTAGGACAACAGTGTGCATGACTTTCAGATTGTAAGATAATAAAAATCTAAGTCTCTTACTGGGTTCAGGAGTCAGCTCTGGGCTCTTTGGCCAACCATGTGGTTAAGATCAAAGGTAACCAGAAACTACATCATGCTGTTGAAAGTGGTTACCAGAAGTAGGGTGTGTGAGGGCAGAATTGACTCTACATGTACTTCTGGATTGTTTGATTTTTCTTTTTCTTAACTCAGCATACTTTAAAAAAAATGTATTATTGCAAAAAAAAATCTCAGATTTAAGAAGCAGAGGGGGACGGGCTGCTCTTAGGCAATAAGGATTCCAGATGCATAGCATTCCTTCCTCGTTGGAGGATTGCTAATGCTATTTTAAGAGTCCTCGCCCGAGACCTTTGCCAGTCCCCAGGGGGACTTACTACCCACACACATTTCTTTTTTTGGAATCCTCAACTGCTGCAGGTGCTTTAACAGACTGTCAAGGAGTCCTGGAGCCAAGCGGCTCACTGCTGTGGTAGTTCCCAAAGTCCAATTCCCACGGTCCCCATGTACCATTTGGAGATCATCGATCCTGGTATTGACTCCCGAAGCCATTTCTTTCCTCTCCTGCGGGGTCTCGGGACAGGGATAGAGGGAGGCTCGGAACCTGGAGGGATGGGAACAGCCTTAGGAACACTGAAGTTTCTTAGTACATCCTATTTAAACCACTTCAGAAAGTAATCCTAACTTACTAGTGGTAGGTCAGTAGGATCAAAACACAACCAGGCCAGGCTGTTGTGCCAGTCAACACTAATCACGTATGTAAATGGCCTACAGACAGCAACACCCAACAGTCTTGACGTTCTCGGTAGCTATGAAATCATTTTGAGATTAAAAAATAATAAGGGGCTGGAGAGATTGCTCGGCAGTTATGAGCACCTGCTTCTCTTTCAGAGGACCCAGGTTCAGTTCCCACCACCCATGTGGTGGGTCACAACTGATGTAATTCCAGTTCTAGGGATCCAACACTCTTCTGGCTTCCAAGGGCCCCAGGCATGCATGTGTGCATACACATACATACAGACAAAACACTCATAAACACAAGATAAATATTTACCAAAGAATTTTAAAAATTAATTTAAAAAACTATTTTATATGTTATTAGAGAAATATGGCATGGCAAAATTTCTGTCCATAACACAGAATTCCATAAAGTTTATATACAGTACCTATGGTACTATGCTGGCATTTAAACCCACTGTCCTTAAATAAAGGAATTGTGGGTTTGGCTGGGGGTATGAGTATATGCATGTGGTGTGCATGTGTATATATGTACATGTGTGTGCAAGTCCTGGAGACCCAAAGTTGACACGAGGAGTCTTCCTGGATTGCTCTCCACCTTAGTCATTGAGGCAGGGTCTCTCTTGATTCCAGAGTACGCCCATGCAGTGAGCCTAACTAGCCAGAGTGCTCCAGGGATCCTGTTCCGGCTTCCCGAATGCTGGGATTACAGGTGGCTGCCACGCCCACCTGGCACTCATGTGGGTTCTGGGGATCCCACTCCAGTCCGTATGCTGGTGTGGTAGGCACTTTATCCTCTGAGCTATCTCCCCAGTCCCCAAGCTGAGGTTCTGATACTTGAAAAAGAAATAAAGAAAAACCTGAGCTACTTCTGATGGTTTAAAGCATTTCCAGCATCAGTAAGCAGCGCGCTCACTGTGGGAAGCAGAACAAGGATCTGGGTGTCACTTTTCTGAGCCGTAAGCAGGTAGCACAGCCGTGCCTCTCGGTTGGAGGCCGGAGTTCCTTACCCTTCACAGATTTTCTTCACCCTGTTTTTCAGCTGATCGCCTTGGAAAAAAATGATGAATACAGACTTGTGCACGTAGTCGCCCTAGGCCCCAGAAGAAAAATCAAGAGTTCAGAACTCTCATTATGGGTAAGGACTTCCTTTGAGACAGTCTTACGCTGTAGCTCAGACTAGCCTGGCATTCACTGTGTGGCCTAGACTGGCCTTGAACTCACAGGAGTCCTAGCCTCAGGCTCCTGAATGCTGAGCTTACACGTCTAGCTGAAAAGTTCTAGAACACCTAAACCTGGGTGGCATCAGAATGATTCCTTTAAGGATATGGCCTCCTGTACGTTACCCTTCTGTACGTTACCCTTACTCCATTTCCTAAGCATCATTTTGAGACTATCTGCCCGATAACCCAGATCCACAAACATCTTCCTGTTTTCAGACACAATGGGCAGCCTGACAGAGAAGCTGAAGGGCAGCTCAGCACAGTGGGGCTTGTTTGTCCAGTTCTCCTTGACTCTTGTCTTTCCAGGACGACCAAAGGTAGGAGGAAGGGAGACAGAAGGAAGCCTGTCTGTTCCCAGGCTGGGACAGAACCAGATAAAGAGTTGACCGGACACAAGGAACTCAGTCACTAGCAGGAACAGCAGTGTTGAATCTCAAGGATCAGACTAACTTAGAATTTATGCAACAAGGAAGGCAGACAACATTGAATACCAAGCTCACACCTCGAGTACAAGGACAGCAAGGAAAAAAATCAGAGAAAATAAAACAAAACATGCGGATGAGCTATTGACCAAGACCCCTCAGGTTGCCTACAATGCCTCACATATAGTGTGTACTGCTTTTATAAAAGAAAACAGTTTCAGAAGGCTACACAAGACAAAGAAGGAGAAAAGTTAGATTTAAGACTCTTAATTCCTAACTCTCCTGGCTAAACTGGGGCCCGTTCTTGGTGCTGCTGCTCTGTAGAGATATCATAACCCGCCTTTCTGGATTTGCTGATAAAGTAATCTTTCTGCTTTGGAGAGGAAACTTGACTGAACACCCCTGAGAAGAGCTCCATATTAGGCACGACCACAGATTGCAATGTTTCCATAACTTAAGGCAGCCTGGAAAACTCCGCCCTAGGGTCTAAGCATTCACACAGTCACCATGTTCCTACTTAGTGAGGGGCGTAAAAGCCACAGAGCGCTACCCACTAAAGCTGAAAATTCCCAAGTTGAGTTTCTCTTAGGACAAAAAGTACTACCTTAAGACATTTATAAGGCAAGCTAACTGCAGGCTTCTAAATAATACTAAGGCAAGAGTGACATGCTGTGCCAGTGGCACGTCTGACCTTTTCTGAGGTCCCTGAGATCAGCACCCCATGCCATGCAGATGTTGCTATGAACTCTGCTTCACTGTGTCAAATGCCAAGACATTAGACTATTCCTACTTTTGAAAGAGCTGGGTGGGCAAGATCACTCTCACCTTGCATGTCTCTATGCTTAAATTAAGTTCCTCATCTTCCCAATAAACAGGCAGATAATAAACTCTTGACAAGCAAAAATTCTCATCAGCTTATAAATATTAAGGTTTAGGAAATCTATCTTTTTATACATACTATTACCGAATTTGGAATGAGGTATCTTAATTTTGTTAGTTTCCATAAAAGGGTATTTTTCTTTCAGCCCAGATTAGTAATAAGAAATATATAAAGCTAAAATTTAGAATAATTGAGGAAAACATACAAAAATAAATAAAACCTGCACGGGTAAAGTCTGAAAATATGCACATGTCATGTCTACGTGGAGGGAGATGTCTCAGTTAGAGAAAGGGGAGTGAGCCCTCAAGTCTCTGGCCCAGCAAGGGCTCCTTGGATGGCACCATGCTGTGCTACTGCTCCGGGCTCACTTTAGAGACCTACTCCACCAGACACAATCTCCTTGTCTTACAGTTACAGGATCCTCCAGCGGGTTCTCGATCTCAGCCTGTCTCAGGAACACATTCCCTCGGCACACTCGCCAAAGCATGCGCTCAAAGGTAGGGATCCGCTCCCGATTAATCACACCAGCCACGAAGCTGTGGGGAGAAGAGTCAGGTTGGGAACTCCAGGCGGGGAGATTTAAGACCGAGCAGGAGAGTGAGAGGAAAAGGGGAAAGATTATACACTGCACATGAGACTTCGTGCTGTGGTGTCAAGGGGGCTGGCTGCCACTCTATCATTCCTGACCTCGTTTCTGGACCCAACAGAGACAGGATTGAGAGACAATCCAGGAACTGAGTCCAGACAAATCTAGGAACAGTTCTCAGAGGCTCAGAATAAAGTGGCTCCTGACAGCAAATCATTCCCTGGATTCATGTTCCCCTCACCCCCACCCAAGATGAAACTCCGGGCCTTGACATTTCAGGCAAGTCTTCTACCACTGATCTATGTCTCCAGCCCATGGTCTAAGACAGGACCTCACTATGTGGCCCAGGCTGGTCTCAAATGTATGATCTTCCTGCTTTTGCCTCCTGAGGAGTGGGACTATATACACACCCACTATATTTGGTGCCATGCACTGCTCTTTTGAACAGCAAAGAGGAACACAAACCCACCAAGGCCGAAGTGCTACCTACCCAAGTCTTAAAGGCGTGCCTCTTCCCATCTCATTTGGCTCCAAGAGTGATGACGATTCTTCCAACAGGTCTGGATCCGCCATCTGCTGATGATGCAATTCAGCCTGAATTCACAAATCAATTAATATCTAATGAAAATAGTTAGTGGCATGCAGGGAACGAGGAACCAGGAGATGGGTTCAGAAAATAAAGATGAAAAGAAAAAAAAAGAAAAAGAGGAAAAACAAAAACAAACAAACCCAAAACACCAAAAGATAGAGCATACCCACAAAAGAAGAAAGAGTAATAAGGAGGGAGAACAAAGGAATAACACGGGCTAAAGAAAGCAAAACTTCCCCAGAAGAGCATCTGGGGAAATGGTTTTAGAAACAAGGAACAGAAGAAAACCATGAAGTGATGGTGACATGTATAAATCTGTTACTTGGTGGAAGTCATTTTTTCTTTAATGCTTTCCTAAATACGCCTGGGCAGGAAAGCCAACAAGTTCTCCTTTTTGAGAGGAAAACAAACCAACCAACCAACCAACAAAAAACCAAATCCCAAACAGCTCTGCGGCTATTGTGACTGCTTCGTTTCCAGACTGCCACCAAGAAGGCTGCTGTGCAAGCACACAGGAGGTGGACACCATCTCGGGAGTGACCTGGAGCTAGAAAGGGCATCTCCAGCCTTCGGTAAATTCAGAACACGAGTACTGTCAGCATGGCCACGCATAATAAAATACCCTAAAGCTTGGGATTTAAAGAGTCTCTTTGTAGGGATCAGAATCTCAGCATCGTGGTGGCGCACGCCTTTAATCCCAGCACTTAGGAGGCAGAGGCAGGAGGATCTCTGTGAGTTAGAGGCCAGCCTGGTCTACAAAGTGAGTTCCAGGACTACATAGAGAAACCCTGTTTCAAAAAAAAAAACAAAACAAAACAAACAAAAACAAAAAGGAAGAAGTACAGGAGCTGGGCAGGCCTGGGTCTCTGTTGCATTTATAAAGGCAAGAAAAAGTGAAAACATCGAAAGGTTGTATTTTCTGACTAGGAATCTAGGGATACTGAAAAGTTTGTGTAGACTTTATAGCAGAGAGCAAGAATTAAGTAAATAACAGGCCACAGCTTCACAAGCTAGAGCTCCTGGCCTTGCTTAGTTGGTTAGATTTAAAATGACTTCCACTAGGACAGTTTATACAATGAAATGAAGGTGAAGGGTTTCCCACAGTGGTCTGCTATTTCCTCACCTCTCTCCCTTCAACACCTAGTCTCATCAGAATGGAGAAGCTGCTCTAAAACATGATCAGCCTCTCTGCTGCCTAATCTACCCAGCTGTAATATCCACACACTCATGTCTGACCAAAGACTAGAAGAAGCCAGAACAACCCTCCCGATCAAAAACAAAACAAAACACCAGGAGAAATTCCCTTTCATTTTCATTCCAAATTCCAATTTCACCTTAATCCTGTCAATTAAATTATGAGGGGGAACAAAGGCATGTTTACCTTATATGGTAAAACCATGGACCATACATATAACAAACAAAGGGGAAACAGTGTAAGCCAGAGAACACTGAAGGGCAAAAAAGTGAAAGCAATTGTTTTGGGAAGCTAGGGTCAGGCCTGCATGTTTTTTTTTTGTTTGTTTTGTTTTTTTGTTTTTTGTTGTTGTTGTTGTTTTAAGCACACAGGGCATAGGAATATTGTCATGTGATTGGAGACGTTTAAGCTGAGATAATGGGGACACTGGTTACTACTTGCTGTCACATGGATAGAAAAGGATTGTTTCAGTCTAGAAACAAATCAGCCAGCTGAAAGCAATCTGAATATTCAAATTACAACATTCCAATGGTTCTTGGGTTGCCCATGGGCAAAATTAATATAATTGACTGTTCCCCACAAGACTCTCCTGCTGCCTTATGTGGTCTCAGAACCTGGCTCTTACTTAAGCCATGAACACTTGAGTCCATGAGGGCTTGTGCGCTCTCAAAGGGGACAGCCAACAAGAACGGCTGACTGGACTTAGATCGCACTGTCCAAAGATGATAATCTGGGGCTGAGATTTAAAAAAACAAAAAACAATGTAAAGAATTAAAGTTAAACAGAAAGATCAAATTCTAAATACTAATTTTACTACTTCACACTTAAGAACACCAAGACTTAGATAGGAAAGTCAAAAAATTCTAAATGAAATGGAAACCACAGTAACCAGAACTAAGGGACTTTATGAAAACAAAACAAAACAAAACCTAAAACCAAAAAAACTAAAACCAAAACCTGATCACAGGAGACCTCCATTCTCTCTCTCTCTGTGTTTCCTTAAGATTTGTTTATTTTATATGCATTAATTTGCCTATATGTATGTCTGTGTTAGGGTGCCAGGTCCCCTGGAACTGGAGTTACAGACAGTTATGAGCTACCATGTGGGTGCTGGGAATTGAACCCTGGTCCTCTAGAAGTGGTCTTAATCACTGAACTACCTTTCCAGCCCAGGAGCACACTTCTCTAGCAACAACAATACTTCCAAGTTCTCTAAAACACCCATTATTCCCTCTGAGTTGCCCCTTTCCCCACTGAGAACACTGAAAACCACACCTTCTGAAGAGCAAGGTGCTGACTGGAACTTCAGCATTTCAATATGAGCAGCACATCCAGTCAGGCTACATCAGCTACTAAATATTTAACTGTCTAGCTACAGTAAGAAAGAAGTGACATACTTGAGGTATTCACCCAGAGGAGATGGCAGATGGAAAAGAAAAAGAAAGAAAGCAGATGGCTGAAAAACGCAGAGGGGAGGGAGGCGGGGATCTGCATGCCATTAACCATTACTTTCCCAGTCTTCTTTACGTTCTCATATGTTATGATGCTTATGGTAAAAGATGCAGAGAAACCTCTCCAGCTCTTACAGTTCTTCATAAGCAAGAAGACTAGAAAAGGATAATCATTAATAAATCATTTTAAATGCTCTGGGTAAGAAATGGCTACATTGAATTGACAATCATCTTAAATCATAAGAATATTCAATATATGTTTACTCTTCCCTTTCTACACACCCTGCCAATTATTATCATCAATAAGAAAAGATCATTTTCTGATTTTGCCATTTTTTTGACCGATTACTATGAGTTATTGATTAAATTCAGCAAATTATAAGAAAAGAAGAGAGGTTTGTAGTTGGCAGTGTTTGGTGCCATTTACAAACACTACAATTTCAAACACGAAGCGGAATCTCATTACGAGCTGAATTTCCAACATCTAAGGTCCCAGGTTTGCTCACCTTTCTGTGTTGCTTAAATGTGCCCCCTGCACACACAGTGTGATCACTCAGTGAGGCTTTGTCCCTGGTCGGGGCAACGTCCTCTGCAATTGCCATTTGGCAGCAGGGCAAGGTCTATGGAAAGGGACCTGACTGAGACTATGGATAGCGGCAAGAACGGGCCAGGTGCTGGCTGCAAGTGCTGAGAAAAGGCACCGTGGGGTTTCCACACTGCCCTGCCGTGCCGTGCTTGAAATGAAGGGGATTGATGGAAAGAGCAGTGGAGAAACTCTCACAGCCAAGGCTTCCCGCTCAAAGCATCTGGGAGATTGGGGCTGGGGCAGCTTTGCATAAGAAAGAGAGAACGACCCACCATGGAGAGGGCGTGGAGGTCATAAAGACTGGGAGTCTCTTTCCAAGACTGGCACTTAATGTTTAGACTTAATAACCATAAAACAAAAATAAAATTCCATTTATAGTCTTTCGTTTCTGTCTGTTTTTCTTTTTCTTTCTTTCTTTCTTTCTTTCTTTCTTTCTTTCTTTCTTTCTTTCTTTCTTTCTTTCTTTCTTTCTTTTTTTTTTGAGAGAGGGTCTTACATAGTTCAGTCTGGACTCAAACCCTCTATGAATCCAAGGCTTGCCTTGAATTCTTGGTCCTCTTGCCTCCATCTCTCAAATGCTGGGGTTAGAGGCATGCACCATCACACCCCACTCCTAATGTACTAAATGGTTCATCTTATTTTTACTGAACTCTTTTGGGGGCATTGGGAGGGGAGGAGGTTTCACTACATAGCTTAGGTTGGCCTTGAGTTGGCAATCAGGAAAATCTCAAATTCAAGGCCAGCCCGGGCTATAGCTCCTGTCCCCCATATAAAGGTAGCATAAATAGTAAACGAAGCTTCAAATGAATCTAAAAGTAGCCGAGCTTTGACTGTGAAGCCAGGAAGGATACACCAGGGCAGCTTGGACACATTTAGGAAAGTACAAATCTGTGAGCATATGGAGCTCTATGATCAGGGGTTTCCCTGATACAACCAAATGACGTAGCCTTTGAATGAAGGGACTGGATCTTTCACAACCTGGACCTCACAAAGAGTAAGTGCTCACTATGCACTCCAGGAATTAACAGGTAAGAATATATTGATATGCAGGCAGTGAGCTTCCTGGGATCTCATATTCAGTGGAATCATATGGCGTTTGTGGTTTTGCCTGTGGCTAGGATCCTAAACACTTGGAGAGAGTTGATCTCATTGTCTCCCATCTTCTAAAGTGATCAGGCTCAAATTTCTCAACAAACAGATATTCATAGGGAATTTCTCTTACTTTATAACTGAATCCTACTCTTGGGAAGACTAGGTAGTTAAATTCATATGAACTTTTCTCATTTCCTTGTCTCCCCAGACTCTAAATTAAATGACTTGTCTGAATCAAATCCATAGTTACTGAGAAATGTATCACTTCCTCAGCAGATTTTTCTCTAGATAGTGGTTTTCAAAAAAGCATGCCTGAGTTAAAACACATTAAATAGCTAGCTGGGCCTTGCCCCCAGGGTTTCTAACTCAGTAGGTCTGCAGTGGGGGCTTATCATTTACATTTCTCACAAGGTTGTTGATGCTGGTTGGAAACCTTGAGAACTATGGAGGACTGGTCTCTTCTTGAGCAATGCAGTTTTGAGATAGGGTCACACTATGAAGCCCTCGCTGTCCTGAAACTCACTTTGTAGACCAGGCTGGCCTTGAACTCATAGAGATCTGCCTACCTCTGCCTCCTGAGTGCTGAAATTAAAGGTGTGCACCACCACCCAACTATATCTAAAATCTCTGTCAAGGTTTTTTGTTAAGCAAAGGAAACTAACTTTATGGGTGGAACACAGTAACTAAGGTGATGTCTGAAGTGTCTAATGTTTGGTTGGGAAAGATACCTATCAAAAAGAGCACTATTAATATTTTAGGCCATCAGAAAAACCAGATGCAGGTTGGAGCTAATGTTCCTTCCCAAGGTTAATTAGGAGAAGGAAGCATTCTACAGTTCTGAACTAACTCCTTCAAGGGGGTGGGGGTCTCCTTGGCAAACTGTCACTTGTCAATTCAGTACTTTTATATTTAGCCAGCAAAAACTTAGTAACATTTTTCTTATAAGTAATAAACTGTGTCTATGGGAAAATTCAAACTAGGATCATACCAATACCAATAGGACAACAATGAAAACTTAGGAAAACCAGTGACATGAGATCTAAGTGCTGAGAAGAATTCCCAAGGGTTGGTGAACAAAGTTACTTGATGACTTAAGGTCTGGAAATTGAAACTTCACTGTAATTTTGTACACAACCAGGCACTTGTTCCTCCAACTTCATATCTTATACTTACCTTATAACATATAACTAGAAGTGTCACAGAAATAGTTCAGCTAACTATCAACCTTAGATTCCTCCCCCCACCCCATCCCCCTGCTTGAGATGAAAGTTGGCAGAAGATGTGAAAATATATGAAACCATGGCTGGCTAAGTACTGTATGGAAAATGGAACCCAACCTGACATTCTTTAACTAAAACGGTGCGAAGACAGCATTGCTTCCAAACTAGCAAATTAAAATAACTACCAGAATAAAAATATGGCCCACTTGTGCAGGTATACCAGCTGCTCAAGTACTAGAAGAAACAATAGTCTGACCTCATCAAAAAACTGCTGAGTTTTGCGAAGTATGAATTTTAATTCAGTCAGTTCCAGGAAGTTTCTCTTCAGAGCTTCCTGGTTTGTGTTGATTTCCTTCAGCTCATTTTCAATCTTCTCGAAATTGGCCTAGGGTGTAAAAAAGAAAGCCGTTAATTCACACAAAGCTCCCTGTGCTTCTCTAAAGGACTGAATTTACTACCCAGACCTGTTGCCATGGTAATGTATTAGCTACAGCTACCCAGCCAATGCTGTGATTCTGAGAGCAACTTTAAGCAAAACATTTCACTCAAACAAGCCTTTATTTGCCTACAGGTTCCACTATACACTCACTCTGAGTTTCTTGAGAGAGTTTAGACACTCAGAAACATCAAAAGCTCACTGGCTATTCATTTAGTATGTGAGGGTCATCGGCTAACAAGGGACCGGTAAACCAATAAGCATTAATTTGGTGGCACATTATAATATGCTATCTCTGTAGGAGATACTGTTTGACACCTAGAAAAATCTACAATGAAAGGCTTGTCACAAGGTTGACAAGAACGACTCTATGCCAGCCGCTTAGGAAGGCCATACCTGCATTTATGTAGAGAGGTATTTGAGAACTGTTTACCTCTAAGTCGATCATGTCCCGGGGGAAGGGCACCTCTGGGTTTTCACCAGTGTCCATAATTGGGATGTTTGCTTTTCTTATCTCTTTCTCCACAAATCCTAAAATGATAGTCAGAGCACTCACATGTAATGTATATGGCTGGAATTCTCATTATTTCAGAACACACACACACACACACACACACACACACACACACACACAAAACGCCTGGCTAAAAAGAGCTTCATCCTAGAAAGAACTGACAAACAAAAGCAGCACCTTTTTCTCTCCACACTTTTCTTTCTCACACTTTACACTCTCTAAAGCTATCCCAAGGAGAGTGGTCAAGTCCATGGCTGTTTCCTTTCTCTCTTCTGGCCTTTGCTGTTGTTCTGAGAACGACTGTGAACTACCAGTTCTCTCCATTTCTACCTGGGCATGCACAGCCAGGTCTAGCTTTCTCGGAGTTTAAAACTGGCTTGCAGCTGCTTCGCTTCTCCACCTATGTGACCTGCTTCCTTCAGGTAGGACAGCTCTCTCTGCAGGTATTGTTGGTCAGTCAAAGCGCCAGAAGAATACAGCATCAACAGGGCATTTGACACATAACATGATGGAAATAATTCTAAGTCAAAAGATTCATTTAGGGTTGGGGATTTAGCTCAGTGGTAGAGCGCTTGCCCAGCAATCGCAAGGCCCTGGGTTCAGTCCTCAGCTCTGAAAAAAAAAAAAAAAAAGAAAGAAAGAAAAAAAGAAAAGAAAAAAAAAAGATTCATTTAATTTAGAAACAATTGGGTCATTTTTTTTTTAAAACATCAAAAGCCAAAAAGTAAGGATAAAAGGACCCAAAACACCAAAAGAGAAAAGTGTTTCCATGATGACTTTTTTTTTTTTTTAAAGAACACGGTCCATTTTATCTATGGGCTTGGTAGAGCGGCAAGATCATGGGTTTGGAGCCAAACAGAATGCCCTAGTTTCAAATGCTGACTCCATTATGATGGCTTATGTTCTTGCGTATGTCAAGGAAGTCACAGGCCTCTTAGTCCTTACATGAGGTAGTGCCTGTCTTTTTCTTTTATGAGGCAATGTCTATGCAGTCCAAACTGGTGTGGAACTCACAGGAATTGTCTGCCTCTGAGTGCTGGGATTAAAGACATAAGCCACCACACCTTGAAGGCATGTTGTGGGGAATTAATGGAGTTTCTAATCACTCATTAGTAACCTAGCCTTCAGTAAAGCCTTAGTAAATGTCCCATTTTTTCATAAACCGCTCAGAAGAAAAGGTGGCTCAGCTGATATCTAAATTTGATAGTATTCTGAGTCCTATCTTTTAGACTTCTATTAACATGGTTCTGCTGTTTAAATCTGACAAGAATTTAATCACAGTGACATATACAGGTAACCACAGTACTCCAGAAGCCACGGCAGGAGGATCACTGCCTGGGACAGGTACCCAGAGTTCTAGGTCAGCCTGAGCTACACAGTTTTAAAGAGTAAAAGAGAAAAAAAGAAGTCTAATGAAAAATAGCCTCACTGTTCTCAGCTTGTCATTCGAACAGTGCTTCCCTTAAGCACTACCTAGCTCATAAACCTCATAAAATCTATTTATATACAAGAAGTTCATCTTAATATTATGGTTGCAGATTTTTTCCCTTCCTTCTTTTAACAAGTTTATTTTGTGTGTGTGTGTGTGTGTGTGTGTGTGTGTGTGTGTGTGTGTGTGTGTGTGTGTGTGTGTATGTGTAAGTGTGGGCGCTCATGTGGAGGTCAAAGGACAGCTTTTGGGAGTTGGCTCTCCCCTTCCACCCTGCTGAGGAGGGGCTTGCTCCTTGCTTCTGCTGCCCCTGTACTCTGGGCTAGCTGGCCTGCAAGCCTCTCCCTCCCACCTCACTGTAGGAATGCTCAGGTTTCAGATGTGCACCATCACATCTGGTTCTTTTTATTTATTTATTGTTGCTTGTTGAATACACTGCAGAGGGACAACAGGCTGGCTGGTACCTAGAATCCTGCTGGCAGCCTTATCTGTTTCTTCACACAGGTTCCGGGATTGAACTCAGATCTTCAGGCTTGCATGGCAAGCGCTTCTATGTGTGGAGCCATCACCCTGTCCCTCTTCCCTTCTTCTACTGTCCAATTTTATCCTCTACTGAGAGGACTAATGACTCATGTAACACTAGCAGTTCACTATGGGAATGTTATCCAAGACCAGATTATACATACGAAGCTTTCGATCCATTTCTTCACATCTTCTAACTTCATTCACAAATTTCCTCTGGAAAACATTCACATCTGGATTTAACTGAAAAACAAGAACATAATAGCAGACTTCAAACACATGTCTACGTCATGATGGAGAATATTCCTTTACACTGTGTGAAGATGTGTCACTGTGATTGGTTTAGTAAAGAGCTGAATGGCCATTAGCTAGGCAGGAAGAGGTTAGGCAGGATTTCTGGGGGCAGAGAGCCCTGGGAGGTAGAAAGGCAGAGCAAGACTTGGAGGAAGCAGCAGCAGTACAGAGGAAAGGTAACGGAGCCATGTAAAAGAAGGTAGATGAAAAGATATGGTTTAATTTAACTTATAAGAACTAGTTAGTGCCGAGCGTGGTGGCGCACGCCTTTAATCCCAGCACTTGGGAGGCAGAGGCAGGCGGATCTCTGTGAGTTCGAGGCCAGCCTGGGCTACCAAGTGAGCTCCAGGAAAGGCGCAAAGCTACACAGAGAAACCCTGTCTTGAAAAAACCAAAAAAAAAAAAACAAAACCAAGAACTAGTTAGGAACAAGCCTAAGCTAAAGCCGAGCTTTCATAATTAATAATAAATCTGTGTCATTTTTTTGTGAGTTGGTAGACCAAAAAGAAATATCCATCGACAACATTCTGTTTTGTAAACAATACATCCCATCAATGGAAACTTAATTTTGTGCCAGTGTGTAATGCAACTCTAATCAAAACTGTCTACTCGTCCATATAAAGGGCTTTGTGCCCGCCACCCAGGCTAAAGCTAACAGCTGCCTTTGCTGTTGCAACACATATCTGGGATGGAGACAAATGAGCTGAAGTGTGAGCGCCTTCCTCCCCGCCACCTGGAGCTTAGGCAGCCATGTCATGGGTGCTCTGTCTGGGCTCCTCTCTCTCCCCAAGCAGAGGGGACAGAAGGCAAATGCCCATTCTTTTGCCCCAGGTTGTCACCTTCTGGTGACAGTCTGATTTTATTGATTCACTAAAGCCACACCATAGGGAGTATCCCCTCACACCTGTTAGAACGGCTTTCATGAGAAAGATGGGAGCCAGGCTTCGTGGTACATGATGTGATCCCAACTCTATCAAAACAGGGGGATTAGAAGTTCAAAGCCAGCCTGGGCTACATAGCAAGATCTTGTCTGAAAAGATGAGAGGTATGAATTCATGAGGATGTCGACAAAAAGGTATAATACTCTAGTGTATTATAGATTGGTACAGTCATGTGGAAAACGGTAATTCCTGGGAAAAAGCAAAACCAAAAATCCTTAAAAAAAAAAAAAAAAAAAAAAAAAAAGAACTACCAAGAGCTAGGGATGTAGTCGACTGGAAAACTACTTTACCTAGCAGGCACAGACACCTTGGTGCAATCTCAACAGGGAGTGGGTAGAACTGCCATACAATCCAGCAATCCCACTTCTGGGTACACAGAAGAACTGAAATCAATATGCAGGGCTATTCCCAGTAACAACTATGTAGAATCAACCTACCAAGAGATGTATGGACGAAGATAACATGAACGTTATACTAAGTGAAATACACCAGGCACATTGCTTCTTATCTACAGGGAGAATTTCATTTACTATTCATTAAAAGGTTTTCTTTAAAGTTTTTATGAGCATAGATGGGTGGTGTGTCTATATGTATGTTTGTGTACCATGTGCATTCAAGGTGCCCTCAGAGGCCAAGAGGGAGTCAGATCCTCTGGAACCTGAATTGGAGATGGTTGTAAGCTGCCATGTGGGTGCTGGGAGTCAAACCTGGATCATCTGGAAAAGCAGCTAGTATTCTTAACCTCGGAGCCATCTCTCCAGCCTCCTACATGTAGAATTTTAGACAGCTGAGCTCATGTAAGTATTGAGATGGCTTCCAGAGAGGGAGACAGAAAGGAGGTGTGGTGGGTAGAAGAAAGGATAGGTCAGAGTTCACAGATTTTCAGATAGACAGACAGGAGTAGGGAGGAAGTGGCAACTTGGTCAGAGAATAAAAAGTCTGAGCTACTAGGGATACTTTTTTACATTATTTACTTGGTGTACATATGCGTGTGTATTCACATGGGTGGGTGGATGCGCGTTTGCCACAGTGCCCATGTGGATATGAGAGGAGAAGTTGCAGGAGTTGATTTTCTCCTTCCAGATGTGGGTTCCACGGATCAAACTCATGGTGCCAGTCTTGACAAGAAGTGCCTTTACCTGCTGAGCCATCTTGCTGACTCCGGGAATGTGTGTGTGTGTGTGTGTGTGTGTGTGTGTGTGTGTGTGTGTGTAGGTACCCACAGAGATGAGACGTTTTGAGTCCACGTGACTGGAGTGATGAGAAACTGGGAACCAAACATGGCTCCTCTGGAAGAATAGCATGTGCTTCAACCGCTGGATCATCTCTCCAGCCCGGGAATAAAGTTTTCAACTACTGCAGGGTAGGCAAGCCAGCTCAGCGTGGAAAGGTGCTTGCCTGAGTGCAGCCCTGGGAACCTACATAAAGCTAGGGGGACAGCATCAACTCCAAAAAACTGTCCTCTGACCTCTGCACGTGTGACACACCCCACCACCACCACCAATATTAATATTAATAATTAATAAATAAAACTTAAAACAAGCTGGGCAGTGGTAGTGCACACCTTTAATCCCAGTACTTGGGAGGGAGAGCCAGGCAGATCTCTGTGAGTTTGAGGTCAGCCTGGTCTACAGAGATCCAAGACAGGCACCAAAACAACACAGAGAAACCCTGTCTCGAAAAAATTAAAAAAAAAAAAAAAAACCACAACAAAAACAAAAACAAACAAA